ACCACCTGGGAAGAAAATTGATTTACCCAAAGCAATCAAATCACGAACATCTGAGCTACGTTCTGCTCTCACAGTTCTAGTCCCACCTCCTTTTGCAAGGCGAACTCCAACATACCTATTCTGTTGCGGGTCATAGTGCAGCCAGCCAAACTGAACTTTACGGTAGCCATTTATAATTTGGTTAGAGGGTCCTGGCTCTGTACTTGCCTTTTCTTCGGCTCTCTTTTTCTTTGGTTTTACCCTTTTTTTGAGGAGATCAAGCAGCTTTCTTTTCTTCTCATCTCTACTCTCACCTCGCAACTTTTCATTTACAAAGCTTCTTAAGGACAGCAGATCTCCCCTTCGCAATGGTCCTAACTCTTGCAATTGTTCATCTGAGGCAGTATTTACTGCCGAATAATCCATCTAAAAAATAGGAAATAGAAACTGCATTAAAATTATAAATGCCATCAATACAGCAACGTCTGAAAAAGGAATATTATTTCCTTCTATCTGGTTGATTCATTTTAACGAGTTTCAAACTTATTCAAGTCCATGAATTTGCATCTGACTGGATGGTAAAGATCTCTGACGAGTCTAATTAATGATTGTTTCCTGGCTGTTTATGTTTGATCCTTTCAATATTTCTATTTAAGGGTTATGCAACGCATTTTTGACGCATGCAAAGGTGGCTCAAACAGCGGTGAACTACAGCAGTGGGGAAGACAAGTTAGGATAGTTATTTATCGAAAAAACTATCGGGATGGTGATCATGTCCAGACAATTAAGTTCACTGCATACCTTCTCGTTCCTGAATCGAGCGATCACTTCGTCTCGAATCTCTCTTTTTGCGAGAAACTCGCATATCTATAAGCAGAAAAATGCGTTAAGTTGAAATCTGCGCTATTTTATGCAAATTTAGTGAATTCCAGTGAATACCGTGAACCTGAGAGTTATTTACCTCATTGATTTCGGTTTCGAGTTCCGCCATCTTCTCTTGAGAAGCAACTTGAGCCCGCATTACTTCGGTCGCTAAAAAGTCGCTAAAAAAGTCGCTAAAAAAGTCGCTAAAAAAGTCGCTAAAAAAGTCGCTAAAAAAGTCGCTAAAAAAGTCGCTAAAACGATAAAAAAATCACAATTTTTGCATGGCACTTATGAGCCACCGTAGATATGCGCAACAACTATTGATTCATATCGAGACATGATATGGGATGAACACTTCGACGATCTTCTACCTACTTATGGTGAGTATTTGTTTTCCACTTGGAGCTACATATTAACTCATAAGAGGAGACAAACCAACTTCACTTTAATTCGAAAAAGGGGGTCACCAAGGCTGAAAAAATATTTGCATATAAACTTGTCGCGACCGGAAATTACTTTTGCGTGATTGTTGTAACGCTTTCACTAACTGAAACATCCTGTGAGAATTCACTTAATTGCCCAGATCCCAGTTGGCTTTATAGCTGAAATGGTAGAGCACTGCACTGGTAAAGCAGGGGTCAGGGCTCGTAACGTTCAAAACTTCGATCATCTGCAAAATCTCACTTGAAACTAGAGCATTCTAGGAGTCAGGCGGTCAGGGGTTAGGGCTCGTCAGGCGCCCTAGTTTATTGAAACCAGACTTCCCCTGCCAAGTACCTTGCAGTGTCCAGTCTATTTTCGGCTTGGGTGACGCGCTGTCTCTAATGGTGAGATGTGTGTACCGTTGCACTTATGTCCACTTGTTGTAGATATGTCCTCTGACGTAATGTGATACAATGGCCAATCACATCCTGTGATCTATGGAGCGACACGCGGCTTAGGACTGGTTAAGAGATTCCGTTGCAGTTATGTCTTCAAGCAAAAGTGCTCATTCAAGGGGTCCGGGATAAGTAGGAAATTTGACACGTATGAGCAACTTCTAACTGATCTCAGGAAAACACACTGTTCGCAATCTCACATTACTTTCCTTGATGTTCTATCACTCCTTCGTTAACGCCTTGTGATCGCATCGTTCTTGTAATCTAAACGTCCTAAACGTGGAAGAACAACTTGCTACGTAAATAACAAAGCGACTTTTGACCAAAGGATGCGTTATTGTTCACGCTTCATTTGCAGTCTTGCTTTATTTACAGACGTCATTGTTCGACTTGCGACTTCAATGACGACATTTTACCCATATCACAATTGTTTTATTTTCTTGAATAGTTGAAGATCGTAGATTATGGTTCGTCGGCATAAAATTATATATTTTTGACGCTTCGCTGATCTGCCGGAGGT